CCCCCCCCCCCCCCTCTACATTTCTTTCTTTTAGGTCATATTTTTTTCATCTTATTTTTATTATTTATTACTTTTTTTATAAGAATCAAATTAGACTAAATCATGTCAGATCAAAACTTATTTCAATCAGATCAAAATATTCAGATTAGGTGAATAGAACATGTCAGAACTAGTTATATTATACTCAATTTTTTATTTCAAATAATAGAGTAGGGAAACTGCAAATGAACAAACATTTATAGTGGAATTTGCACTAAATAAGACTAAAATATAAGTCATTTCTCAATGTAGAACTTAAACTTTTTTATTTTCTAAATAGTACTTAATAACGTCTAGTAAGTGGAATAATGTCAAGTGATTAGACATTTACTTCAATAATGACTAATGTATAAAAACCAATGGTCCTACATAGAGTAATAAAAACATGGGTTATGGAGCAAATTAGAAGTAAAACATTGATTAAATCCCAAAATAGGAGTTGAAAGATAAAACCCCAAAATAGAAGTTGAAAGATAAAACTCTAAAATAAAAGTTGAAAGATAAAACCCTCAAAATAGGAGTTGAAAGATAAAACTCCCAAAATAGTACCCTCTTCTCCACTCAATTCTGTCATACCACGCTCAATTGTGCCATGCCAATGCTGCTCAACTGTACAAAAGTTCCATCAATGGCAGCTCAACTATGCCATGTCGCCGTCGGCAACGCCGGCACCCCAACCGCTGCCACGCTCCTATTTCCGCTGATATCGCGCCTGTATCGCCACTGAAATAGTGCCTCCACCATCATCGATGTCGATGTCTCTTTAATCTCCGCCACTGCCGCCATGATCAGCCGCTTCAAACTGCACCATTTGAATCTCAGCTGCCGCTACTTCATTAGGCATTGATTTTGGTTTGGTTTTTTCTTTTTCATTTTTGCATTTGTATTTTTTCTCTTAATTTTTTTGTTTGATTGTTTTTCTATTAGTTGTGTTTAAATTTTGCTCCCAATTTCAATAAAATTTAGTGATAGTGATAAGAAATGTTACATTGTATGTTGGCAATCTTGACATTTCACTTTCTTTTTGACATTTTATATTGACATGTTTGGCATTGCACAATAACATGTATGGCATTATGTATTATCGTCTTTGACAGTGTGAATTTAGTTGGCACTGTATTGAAATCTTTTTCTACTGACAGTTTCTTAAACTTGTGATTAGGACATATGAAAGGTCTCTTTAATGGTCAAAATCCTTTCACTAATCTTTTGTTTATGGTTTGATCCCTTAATTATGTTTTGTACCCCCAAAGAAAGCGTTTTAAATATTTATTCATGAAGTTAGTGTTTTACAGAATTTTTTTCCATCTACATTCAGAAAATCATTATGAGTTTTATAATAAATAAAAAAATCATTTGATAATTAGTATACATGTCTTCATTTTTTTAGTACATTAAAAACACTATAATCATCACATAAAAAAGTGAAGAATTAGCTTTTATAAGGATTGTTTTGTTCTTAAATCAGCAGCTAAAGTAGTCGCAGATGGGCCACTTTTGTTTAGTTTTCATTTTATTTTTAATTTTATTCTTACTTTGGGTATATAAGTTTGGGATTCCTACTTTGGATATATGACTAATGATATAGTCCTATTTGGGGGTTTCTTTAAATATATATGATCATGTATTTAGGGGCTGTTTGTTTCAGCCTCTTAATGGTTCAGATGTCTGAATGGTTCAGCACTTAATGGTTCAAACTGTTTGTTTCAGTCTCTTAATGGTTCAGATGTCTGAATAGTTAAGAGATTTGCCTCTGAATGGTTAAGTATTATACAGAGTCTGAATGGTTAAAACCTCTTATCTGAATTGATTAGACATTTGCCTCTGAATACTTAAGCAATATACTAGCTCTTAATGGTTCAGACCTCTTACTGGTTCAGCATTAATGGTTCAGACCTCTTACTGGTTCAGCACTTAGGGGCTGTTTGGCAACTTCTGAATGGGTAAGTGCTGAACCAGTAAGAGGTCTGAAAGTAATTCACGACTTGGTCATTCTCCAGACTTGGTAATTCTCGATCATATAACGAATTGATAAGTCTCCGTTTACAAACTAGTTAAGTCTATTGTCGAGAATTGGTAAGTCTGAGACATATTATGAATTGGTAAGTCTCCGAAATCTCTTAACCATTCAGACATCTGAACCATTAAGAGGCTGAAACAAACAGTCTGAACCATTAAGTGCTGAATCATTCAGACATCTGAACCATTAAAAGGCTGAAACAAACAGCCCCTTACTGATTCAGAAGTTGGCAAACAGCCCCTTAGTTCTTTTATATACTTCGTGGTCCGTACCTTCAAACCAGTCAAAAATTCACGGGTTTAAATCAAGTTCGGGTCAAAATCCGGGTCATTGAGACTGAACAAAGAATGGATAGACCACAATCGGAGGCGGTATAGTGGAATTCCGGCCGCGCCTTTAATGCTCGGCCTGCCGTTCCTTCTCCGGAAGCTCGTTCGGAGATACGTCGACGTTTAGCAATTCATCTCCATCTCGAAGAAGAACCCTAACCCTAACTCGGCTCTACCCTACTCTTCTTTAATCTCGCAGATCGCCAATGGACCTGCTCGCCAACTATGCCTCTTCAGAAGAAGAAGAAGAAGAAGAAGAAGAAGAGAAGCAAGAATCGCGTCAAAAGCAAAAGCACCGGCCTGCAAGCTTCAATTCCTCAAAGAATTCATGCGAAATCGCTAGCAGATCGGCAGAAAGTGATGGTGCCGACGACGATTTGAAATCTGTTGATAATCACTCGTCGGCGTTTTCTCTCCCTCTGCCCAAATTCTCAACATCTCTAATCTCTTCTCTTCCACCTCCCAAGTCGTCTAGATCGGATCCATTTAACCTTCCCACCCCCTTGGCTCCTTCTGAGCCGAACCTGAAAAGGGTTGTTCAATTCAAGCCTCCATCCATTCCATCCGGAGTGAAGGATGACAGTGACGATGATGATGATGAGGATGAAGATGAGAAAGAAAAACGAAAGAAATTGTCCGGATCGGCTACGCAGAATCTGTCTGTTAGGAGTTTCTTGTCGAGCTTGCCTGCGCCAAAGAGCTCCGGTGCATTGGGCGCTACGCCCCTTGCTTTAGGCGCTGGCAGAAAGTCTGTTCTTGAAACATATATGCCTACTTCTGATACTGACGGTACGAGTTTGGGAGCTGAAGTGGGTGTTTATCCAAATGCTGGATACTATGAAGGCCAGTCTGTTCCGGGATCAACTGTGAGCTCTTCTGGAGCTGTTGATGGTGGATTTCAATCTGAAGCTGCGAGTGTTGCTGGAGAAGAAGGTGGATATTCACAATGGGTTACACAGGGTGAGGATTGTACTGCTACCTACCATAGCTATCCCGGATATGGCAATGGTTACGGCGAACATTCCAACTGGGTTGGAGGGGATGTAGAACAATACCCAAACTATGCTTCTAGTTCATATGCACAAGGACTTCCAGAATCAGCCGAGAGTGCATTAAGGGTCACAGGTAAAAGAAGAAAGAATGACGCTCCACCTGAAATAGTTGAGGTTAACCAGGATGAGTTGATGAAGGATCGGCCAAGGGAAGATCAGTCCAGACTCACTGGCATTGCTTTTGGACCCGCCTACAAGGTAAAGTCTTTCTTGAGAAAATATACTTCTTGGGTTTTTCTGATGCTTAGAGCCGATTATGTTTTTGCTATATGATTATATAGTGGACATTGTCATATGAAGTATATTCAAGAACAAATGTGTGGATGTAATTCGAGATTGCCTGGCTGTTTTAACATGTATTCATGAAAATAGAAAATCTGTAGGTTTTGCTTCTCTTGACAGAACACAACTAATGCATCCTGATACAGCTATCTGGGCTTTCTTTTTACGTAGTAGCTCTTTATTTTTGCTTCTCAAAACTGGAAACAGCCGCTCTATGTTTTAAACATAGGGGTCAGACTGCGTAGACTGCGTACATCCGACCCCCCTTACCCCGCAATGGGCGGGAGCCGTTGAGGCACTGGGGTAATGTTGTTGCTGTTGTGGTTGTTGTAATGCTTAGTGAACCCCCATTGTACATGTTGTTTTGTGTAGCCTGCTTCGACGAAGGGGAAGCCTTCAAAACTACTCAAGAGAAAGCATCAAATTGGTTCCTTGTATTTTGATATGAGACAAAAGGAGGCAGAACTTGCAGAGCGGCGTTCTAGGGGGATGCTCACCAAAGCTCAAACGCAGGGGAAGTATGGATGGTGAGACTGTTGAGATTTTCTCATCCTGTGAGTGACATTGGAAACATTTCCTCTCTTTTTTCTTTTGTGAAAATATATTTTCACCTATGTTGAAGTCTTCATTTCTCGCTGATGGCGAAATTCATCTATTTTTTCTTGTTTATACTATCATCTTTCAATTTCTACTTGATCTTTATTGGATTATGGGATGCTTGTAGTTTGCCAGTGTTTGTATTGAGGGCTAGAGCTCTAAATGTTTGTGTTTCTCTATTAAACGGATCGTCCTAACAGCTACAAAATGAAGTGTCAATTCGGCAATAGCTCCAGCGTTTTGAAAAATTTAATCTCAGGTCAACATTTAGTTTCATCGTTTTTGGATGCATCGTTAAAAAATTGTCTAAAATGTTAATACTAATTGAAAACGATGTTTTCAAACATTGCCGAAGCGTTGAAGTGATTGGACTATCTACCCCAAAAAAAATTCATGCCTCATATTTACCTTTTGAGGCAAGATATAAAACATAAGTGTAATACAACAGAAAAGTGAAACCTTAATTATTCACCCGAAAAATTCGATGCCTAATATTTGAGACTTTATATAGGAGGGGTAATCTTAGACCAATTCTATTGGGGTAAGATTGTTAGGTAAAAGAGTAAGAAGAAAGCATGCGTGTTAATCAAATATTTTCTTATTCTACAATATGAAAAATAAAGTAAAATAAAATCATCGGTTATTCGGTCGGTTCGGTTTTTTCTTATAAAAATCGAAAACCGACCAAAAAACCGAAAAACCGAAAATGCTTTTTACATGAAAATCGAAACCGAACTTTCGGTTATTTCGGTTTTCGGTTATCAGTTTCGCGGTCGGTCCGGTTAATTTGCTCACCCCTAAAGATTGTTACACCAATTCATTTAGAGCACCTATGGTCTTCCAATCACAAAATTGATTGTTTTTATCCCTTGTAAACCCCATTGACCGCTTAGTCCCCAAGGCACAATCATACTGCCGCCAGTTTCATTATACCAAATTTTGGTCAAGAATTTATCCTTAAAGTTAACAAAATTTGGTGTAATGAAATTAGCGGGAGTATAGGGGCGCGTTGGAGACGGGGCAAGCTTGGGAAATTTACTGGGATAGTTTAGGAGATAGGAATAATCGATTTTATAATTGGAGCACTATAAGTGCTCCAATTGAATTGGTGTAACAATTTCACACCAATAAAATGGTGTAAGATTACCCCTAAATATAATAGAGCAACAGAAAAGTGAAACTTTTATTTTTTTGTGCGCACAACATATTGTTATAAAAGAAATTATGTACTAAAATAAGAGTTTCATATTTTTAAATAGGAGTGCACTGTGGTAATATGACACTGTATATGGACATTCACAACATGTTTTGGTAATATATATGGTTATGATTGTCATTGCATATGTATTTTAACTCCTATTTGAAAATAAAAATATGAAACTCTTATTTTTGTTTATTTTCCATATTTTACTCCTACTTTAATCTTTTTTATATCTAATGAGTTTGTTATTTTTAATATATTCTTATTACTTACTCCGAACTTGTTATGTGTGCGATACATATTATTTATTCTTAGTGGAACTCAATCACCCAGATCTTGTTAGACTAGTTTAGCTCAGAAACATTTTTTAATATAACTACAATCAGATTAAATCAGCCATAAATAAAATCAGATCAAATCCAATTAAGTCAAAAGAAAAGAAGAAGCTCTAAACAAATGAAACTATGATGGAGAAGTTCGAACTCTTAAACACACCGTAAAAAATATGAAGGATAAATGCAATTAGATTCATTAGCTCATTTGAAACGTTTAGAAGTTAGATTATCAAACAGCACAGGAACTATCAACATATGCCTAATAATTGTATTGCGATTTAATTCCACCGGTCTTAGCCCTTTGACACCAACATGCCCTTCTTAGGCAAGGGTATGCTCTTTCAAGGGTGTTTTAGACAATCCACAATAATTATGGTTGGTGGACAACTAATGTCCTAAAAAGATAAAGTGGAAAAATAATTCCATACCCAAGAAAACGTATAATATGTTTAGGAAAGTAAAATGACACTTGAGTAAAAAAACACATGGAAGAGGTCCTTCAATTTAAATATCTCAAGCAGACTTTAGTTCACGTTAAACTATACCCCCAATAAACTATGGGTCACACCTTGAAACTCAGGTAATCTATAAAAGACAGTGTTATACATCGGACTGTATGGTACACATGAAGCTCAAATGCAGTTAGCTACAAGAGCAAATACAAGGCAGTGGGGGGCAAGATGGTCTTTTAAGCACAACACATACTCAGTGAGTCTTGGCCTTTGTCTCGTCTTGCAGCTGGACTGCAGAAACAATTCTCTTCCAGCAACGTACGACTATGATTGTGGGTATCCAGCACCAGAAGGAATTCGCAAAAACATAGTACCAGAAGTAGTAGTAGGGGCTTGCAGAAAAATTGTCACCCTCCAAGATGGATGTCAAGAAATAGACAGCAGTACCATACAGCTGGCCCAAAGAAATGGCCACCTGGAGTATATATCTGTAAGACTTCTTTGTAGCTATAGCATACCTGCCATACCCCCACAAAAGATCACATTCTCTCAGACAAGGGTTGGAAACATATCTTTGTTCAATGGTTTAAAAGAAAGAATACGTAAAAGATGAGGTTACATGGGTCATTTAACTTATTTCGGCTATTTCGTTAAAAAAATGTAACTTTACATGATCACAAACATAGAAATGGTTCAACATGATCCCAATGGCAAGGAGGTACTTACACGGCAAGAAGACATGCTGGTCCCTCTAGAACTGCTGTGATTCCTTCAACAGTAATAACAGTAGAATCACGCGCAGCATACCTAGAGTCACCCTTGCTGTACTCTTTCCCTGGCCAGTCATTTTTAAAAATTATGTTGATGAAACTTTAGTACCCCAATCAGTAATGTGTTGGCAGGAACTTACAAACTTCTGCAAAGAAAAATGGAGTCTTTTGCTTGTAGAAGTTAGGAGAGAAGACAAAGTAACCCTCAAGGATCATGTGTGTAAGGCCAGTGAAAGTCCACCAGCACATGAGCAACCTGTCTCCTTTTGATAGCTTTGGGAACCGCCCTATTAAAGGAAAAAGTAAAAAAATGACCATTGGCATTCCAGTCCAAGAGTCGATGAATCTAATCCTAACTTTTCAAATTTTATCAGCCCGTATCATTTTTTAGGATGTGGTTTATCCGAGGGAAATACAGTAGGGGTATCATAATATTCCTAGAACTATCTCATGCGATTATATATTGAACTCGGTGAAAAAAACAGTAATTTCTGGACATATATGTTTCACTACTAGACAGCATTGAAATCTATAATAGCCTTTGCCATGGGAACCAAAAAAGAGGACATCAAGAGCAAACATAATGGTCATTCATAGGTGTTTTTTTGGCTTTTCCATTGGCTTGTGCAATTCAGTTCAAAGTGTGAAAGATTTTTGTAATTGCAGAAATTAGAAAACTACCACACTGTACATGCTGTTGTAAAGATAAAATTACCCATGCAATACAATTTAGCAGGAAACTATGCAAAGTGGTCGAAGAATTACCAGAGAAGTTCCACATGAACGCAACAACCAGTAGAGAAGCAACTCCATACACACTAAGGATGTCCAATTGTGACAAGAAACAGGGCACAAAACCAGGCAACTTTAGATCTTTGGGAATGTAAGGGTGATCTACCTGCAATTCCATCTATATGTGCTTTGATGTCTGCAATCACTAGTGATACAGTCCTGAGATATAAGTTTTTATTTTCTCACAAAAACTTTATGAGCTATCCACAGCATAAACAAAGTTATATGATATTCTGATCAGTGTGGATGCATTAATGCTGTCAATATTGAAACCAATCTCATCAACATTATTATGTGCCACCATTATTGTTTAATTATGCGAATTCGAATCATTAGATTTTACAATACACAACCGTGTTTTTTCAGATTGTACAATTACTCACAACCCTTAGATCTCAAATCCAATGAATCATATGAATTCTCATTTCTTTATCTGTTCTAAATACAAATATATAAAATCACACATTTGAAAAAAAAAATTACCAAGGTAAATACAACAAGTATGAAATATGAAAAGAATAGTTTGGATTGGTGTTCTATACTTGTATATGTATCTTCAATAATCATAGGGCTGAAAGATCTGTGGGGAAGTTGTTTAGAGTTGGAATTGCGACCATCTATAAATCATTAATGATTAAAATATCTTCCGATTCCATTTCATATCTGGATAACTGAAACCAGACAATTTTTGTTTGAAAATATTTGATACCGTTCAAAGTATGAGCACGGAAAAATACCTGAGATCGTGTGTATATTGAATGACGGCGAATTGACTGTCAATCCAGGCCAAAGTAGAAGTGATTCTTGTAGAAATCGGGCGACTCCAATGGTACAAGTGTAGAATGTGCCTGTCACAGATTCCATGAGCGAGTCAAATCAAATATACCTCCTTCTCACTCTCTTTGTCCACTTTTAACTTTTTGAACTGTTCATATCTAAGCACTTTGACTCATCAAATTTTCTCAATGTGTAAGCCTAAATATAGTTATTTGTGATCTTGTTTGATTTGTCTTAATATATAGATTATTAATATATAATTTCTATAATTTTTTAATATATAAATTACAAGATAAAATGGATTAAAGAAGTGCATTGGATGGTGTGCCAAAAGGTAAGTGGACAAAAAGAGTGGGACGGAGGAAGTAATTGCAAAGGGTCGAGAAAGAAGGGATCTGGACAAAAGGGCCATGCCAGATACATACATCAACATATTACCTTATTTGTAAACCAACCTAACACAGACACACACACTAACACAAAATGTGTTAGTTGACATAAAATGTTCCCATTTGTACACTGACATAGTGTAACACAAATATTTTGTATCTGTGTGTTTGTGTTAGCTTGATGTACAGACGGAGTACCCTATGTTGGTGTTTTTGTCTTGGAAGAAAAGATAAATGTGTGGTGTGAGAACTAGTTCAATGATCTCTTTAACAAGTTCGGAGTAAGAGCAACTACAATGGGTATGGTATATTATGGTAGTATAAAAGTTATTTTACACTATCAATAGTGTTTTACACAACTACTTTTTTTATTCCATCCAACCATAACTTCTATATAATACAATTTTATAATATTTTATTATTTTAAGTTACTTATTCTTAATAATTATTTTTAATTCATAGTTTAATTATAACCATATTTATTGTGTATATAATCCAATCAATCTATTATTAATTTTTTTAAATACTCCGTATTATTTAAAATCTAACATTTAAATAATTATTAGGATAGTTTAGAATAAAATTTAAAAGAATATCCTATCAAGGTCTTTTATAAATTTATATTAATTTTTTTAAATATCCTTTGTAGATATGTTTTTTTTCAAAATGGGATATCTACCCTCCTTATCGGAAAATCTATATCTTTGATAAAAAAAATCTTGTTAGAATATCTTTTAGGATAAATTAGAATTTTTTTACAGCCTTTTAGAACAAAAGGGGTTGAATATTGACTCATTTCACATATTTTCTACATCTTCTACGCAGCCTCTCTTGATAAATTTGAATAACTTAGGCTTCTTGAGAAATTTTTTACCTAAGAGAGATGTTACAGAGAGTATCTCTTTTGGCTTGAAAAAAATTTGAGCAAATTGAGAGATGGCTGAGATGAAGAAATTGAAATAAATTGCCAAATAGGGGAAAATAAAGAAAAGAAGATAGTAGAGTGGAAGAGCAAGAAGGTATGCACGTCTATAGTGATAGTGTAGATATAGGAGGTGTGAATTAATTTTTACACTATAGTGTTTTTTAGCATTAGGTATACCCTACCCCTTTGAGGAAATAAATTGAATAGTAAATTGTTTAAATGGTATATTTTACCATATAGACATGGCGTTGGAGTTGCTCTAAGTAATAAGAATACGTTTAAAAATGATCTCTTTAACAAGTTCAGAGTAAGTAATAAGAATAGATTTTAAAATGAAAGAAAATTGACCCTAGTTTTTCTAATTAGTTTCATGTTCCAAATGCTACAAATCAAGTCTCAAACACGATTACAAGAAAAACAAAAACTAAATTTCAATAGCAAATTAAAATTCATATAATACTAAAAACATTATTCATAAAAAATCTTACATTAGAAGATAATTGAGTTAAAGAACCCGTGCCTGCAATTTTTGAGCTTCAAGAACTGAAAATTATTGAAAACTTCAAGTGATTTATATTAAAAAAAATGACTAAGGAGCTTCAAGAACCTGACTCCAGTCTGCTCTATTCCTACTTTTAGTAAAAATAGCAAGCTTTAAGTTGAAATATGCAGAGGACTAACACAAAAATGGCAAAATTGATGTATTAATTATATGATATTTTACATACAAAAGGATATACAAATAAAAATAGGAGATCCAATAAACTATGTAGTCATTCAACAGCTATAGAAGATTGAGAGATTCATCCAAGCTGAATGATAGAAAAGAAAATTTAAAAAAAATAACAAAAAACCGAAGAGGTTCAAATCTGACCTGTGAGTCGTACAGTCGACCGAGTCAGTTGCGTCGCGCCGTCTCCGGAAGATCTTTAGCTCCTTCTGTCAATCCTGTCGGTAGAAACTCGATACTCGAATCTGGGATGAATTTGCGATAGAGTGAGAGAGTTGCGATCGATGATTGGGATTTGCGATCGATTTCTCCTAATTTGTTTTTGGCTATTGAGGGATTTGGGCATTTTGGGAATTTGGGCTAGGAATATTAAATTGATTGGGCTACCTCATTTAATACACTCCACCCATTTTCATTAAGGGTATTATAGTAAACTTTCACCTTTTTTCAACTCTCCTAAAAAACCGTAAAAAGTCAAAACGAGAAGATCTTAGGGGGACGGAGGGAGTATAAAATAGGCTAAATGAGGTTTACCGGTTTAATCCGAAAAATTTCGAGTCAGGACCAGAAGTTTACAGATCTAAGAATAATAGACTTTAACCCGAATTTACTAGAAACGGGTCCAACTCGAAATAGGTTATACTAGTGTGGCCTGGTCCGGTTTACAGTCAGACCTGGATTATTTAGAGCCTTAGTCATGGATGAGAGTTGGTGAAGAATTTGTGAATTGCCCAGAAGAAAAAAGGTTACTCCATTGTAATCAACTAGTACTTCGCATGTGCGATGCACGGGTAATTACTTTCTGATTAATTTCAACTTTGGGGTCTATATATAAAATATTAGTGTGTGCTCCATAAATTATAGAGTAGTAATAACAATAATAATAATAATAATAATAATAATAATAATGATAATAATAATAACAACAACAACAATAACAACAACAAAAATGGCATTCCTCTTATAAAATTTATTAAATATGGAGTAATTATCTTTCTATCAAAACTTATAATATCACAACTAAATGAAAAAAAGGTATGACATCATTTTATCTCATGTTTGTTATAAGCACTAAAATATTGGAAGTATGAAGTATCAATTATATAAATAAATGCAATTATATGTGTATCGCTCAATAACTTATTCTAAATGTAAACATAATTGCAAGTAATATTATACATAACTTACAACGAAATCTTATACGAAGTATTACATTGAGTCATTACAGCCAAAAGGGTTAAATGCACTTCATTGCGATCTACAGAATGTGGGTCATAGCATACTCCCCCGTCCTAAAATTAACTTCTCACCTTCTTTTTCTGGTTGTCCTAAAATTATCTTCCCATTAATTAAAAGGAAAAATTGATATAAATACTCCCAGAAATTTGAAAGACTCTGGTGCTCCCAATTAAACTATAAGTTTAAATTACCACTCCCACTATCTCTAATCAGATTTTCTTATGCTTACATGTAAGTAATTATGCTTAGTTGACATCTTAGTTGTTTTTTGTTTTAATAAGAGGATTTATACAATTTTTTCTCTTATTAAAACAAAAAGAACAACTAAGATGTCAACTAAGCATAATTACTGACATGTAAGCATAAGAAAAGCTTATTAGGAATAGTGAGAGTAGCAATGTAAACTTATAGTTTAATTGGGAGCATCAGAGTCTTTTATTAAATTTGGAAGTATTGTTGTAAAATTTTAAATTTCTAGAAGTATTTATATCATTTTTTCCTACTTAAAATGGCAAAGCTTACTATGATAGATGACAATAATGCCCCCATCCCTTTATGCTTTCCTTTTCACCCTCAATTTTCACCCTCAAGTTTCAATCTTCCCCATCTCTCCCCAGTATTTTTCCTCCTCCGATCCTCTACCTTTTCTTCTCTTTTCTTTTTGCTTAATTTTCTTGATTCATACAAAAAAGAATAATCAGATCCCTGCCTGTGCTGGATAGTCCCCGCCCAAGAAAGCTTCTATCGTCAACACTTCGGAGTATTATCGACCCACCCCTGCCGTCTCTAAAGGTTACTGAGTTTGCGCCGCCGTCTCTATGGGTTATTGAATGTTCGCCGCCGTCTCTATAAATTATCGAGTTCTATCGTCGTCCCTATGGGTTATTGAAGGCTCCTCCCTTTTAGATCTAAAAGTAGAATAAATTCAATCTACAAGATCTCTGTTCTTTTTATTTGCTTCATGTGACATGCGATTCTTTGTGGTTTTATTTGGGTGAACTGATTTTGGAGATAACGTAGGTATGAAGAACTGAAGAACCAATTCAATTTCCAAATGGGATTTGTTTGATTTGGAGAATTTTTCAGAATTCCCATTTGGGAGTGAAGGTTTGGGTTCGGATGAATATTATCTTGGGCAAACTTCCTTAAAATCACTCCCGGTCAAAGTGTGAAATTAATTATAGGACGGAGGAGTATTATTCGGTCCAAACTCGGACCGACCCGAAGACCGGCCAAAACCGGACCGGTGGTCCATAGCATCTCCTCTTGATTTATAGTTTTTTGTTCTTTTTGCAGTTTTACGACCATTCTAATTTTCAGCTGTTCATCGGAAGAGAATGAATGCTCCAGATCGTTACGAACGATTTGTCGTCCCGGAAGGCGTCAAGAAGTATGCTTTTTCTCCCTGTTTATGCAATTTATCTCTTTTTGTGTAGTTATGGAATTTATATCTGATTTATATCACTAGGGTTTCATACGAGCGGGACACGAAGATCATCAATGCTGCCACTCTAACCGTCGAGAGGGAAGACCACACAATCGGAAACATTCTTCGCATGTAATTTGCATTGCAACTGTTTTTTGGGGCTCCTGGATAGCTTTTATAAACCCTAGGTTTTAATTTTGATTTGTGATTCAGTGGTGATGGTGTGTGTTTGCAGGCAGTTGCACAGGGACAGTAATGTTCTCTTTTCCGGTTACAAGTTGCCTCACCCTCTTCAGTATAAAATCATACTCAGGGCAAGTCATTCTCTTGATTTGTGTTTCTTTATCACTGCTTCACTTTTTGTTTTCTTCTGCAATTTGTGTGGTTTATGTTTCATTCTGAAATTTTGGTATAAGTATGTTTTTCGTTATCTTGCTACCATTGCCCATAGAGCTATAGTCATTTTTTTGCAATGTTTATCCAATCCTTCCAGTCAAGATTCACCCTCTCCCTTAGTTGAACTATACTAAGCTACTACGTACCCTAGATGTACATAGTTCAACTCATTTGAAACGAAATGAGTTGGATTATGTTCAACGAATCTCTTCTTTGGTTTCAAATAAAGTAGATTTTGGGGCATCAGTGATTAGTACACCCAGGTGCTGTTAAGGTCAGGACCGTGGTTGCCCATCTCCTGGTTGGTTAGACCAGCTGGGTTGGTTTGGCTATTCTTTTCTATTTAGCATCACATAATAATGGGCAAAATAAAAACTTTTCATTCAACTTCATTTGCTTTACTTACTATGAAGTTAAGGCCCTAATGCAGGCTTATAATTTGGGTAGTAAATGCAGCAATGCATTATCAAGTATTTAACGAAAACTGTCTGTTCTCATTGCTCTACCTGCAGATTCAAACAACAAGCCAGTCTTCCCCAATGCAGGCTTATAATCAGGCTATTAATGATCTTGACAAAGAGCTAGATCATTTGAAAAATCAATTTGAGGTATGATTATCTATTCTTCGATAGTGAAATGTAAAATATGTTGCCACTGAATTAAAGTTTCCATAATAATGATCAGTCAGTTATTGTCCGGGGATAGAACATGATGCCTAGACATTGGTCTGCATCTATTTAAGGAGTCTACGATGTCATGCATCTAAGCGCATATTGTGTAATAGATGATACTCCCTCCCTTGCAAATGAAGTATAGGGTCTGATTTCAAGGGGTATAATAAAAATGCGGAAAAGTAAAGAATATGTGGTTGCAATATGTGTAGAAGTGAGAGATATAATGACCCACAGATTTCATTCTTAACGGGAAATTAAGGTAGTCTAAACTATATTTTGGGACAACCCAAAAAACTGTAAACTTCATTTTAGGGTATGCACCCATAGATCTTCATTCATAGTGTTTTTTCCCCACAGATGAGTTTGAAATTATAAATAATCTTTCATTAAAGCTTAAAACAAGCAAACCATGGAAATAAAATATGTATGTGATTTCCTTCATGCTGATCTACACTTCTACTTGTGCGTTCTTTTAATTTTTCTCATATAGTTCCTTCAGTAGACTAATGTGGTGAAACTGGGAAGCTATGATTGAACAGTTTAAAGGATAGCTTGCCAATTCTTTGTAATTATTCCCAGAATGAGGGGGGTAGTTAAGCTGAAAACGGACTTGGGTGCTGTTATCTTTTCTTGGTATGCTCACATTTTATGATCATATCTTTTTGCCAATTGTATGTCAGATTGAACTGGCAAAGCACGTGCAAGAGTATTGATCAACTTGTGTTTTTGTGGTAGCATATGAGGAGCTGGAGCTTAGATCAATTCAAATGGAATGACTTAGTTGGTCATGATAATGGCACTTTTTCTCTATGTGAACTTGTTGTGTTGTATTTGAACTAGCTAGCTAATTTGAAGTTACAAACGGGGTACTAGTAATGACTTAGACTCCATTTATGCAGACCGTGGCTTGAATGTAGATTTCAAGTGTTGTTTTTCCCTAATCAATTAGTAACAACTCTTTCCATTCGGATTTAATCTTTTTATTTGTCTTTTTTTGGTCAAAATTTTTAAATTTTTACCTCGATATGCAGAATATATATATATATATATATATATATATATATATATTGTGTTTCGATATAAATGTAAAATCAATAGTTTTCTTTTGAAACATGGTTTTGAAAAAATTGAAATGTCATGTTTCGTAAAATATACTCGGTATCTATGTATAAGTATCGATATATATTGTAAAAGTGTTATATTGAATATTGTGAAAAGTCAAAAGAAAAGATTAAGTGGATAGGGGAATACATTACCGTCATTACATGATTGACTATTGCTAACTCCATTACATGATAAATAACTCATTCCGTTTCAAATTAAATTATTTATTTTGGCGTATTATGTTTGATTAAAATTATTTTTAATTTAATTTTTTTGAGAATTGGGTTGGATTCAACAAATAAAAATTACTCTTAAATTTTTAATACATACATCAAAAGTTCTACTGTATGATATAAATAACTTATATAGAGTGGAGGAAGTACAAAATTAATATTGAACTATTAACTATTCCCTCCCCTCTTGTAAAATGATTACTCTTTACTCATTTTTTTTGTTCGTTTCAAAAAAATAATCTTACACTTACCTATTTCTTTTTAAAGAAATGATTGAATGATTCACAACAATTTTTTATCCTTTGAATAATTTTTTTGCCATAAATTTTTTTATTTTTTAAGTTTTTTTTAAGCTAAAATTCAAAGAAAAAGGTTTTTGCAAATTGGATATTACTTTTATACAGAGTAATATGTCAATGGACTTATGTAGAGAAGTTTATGGGCTCCCGACCCAACAAGGTTTTGGGCTGTGAGAAACCTCCTGCGTGTAGAGGTAAATTTTTTGAACTACTTGAGATTATTTACGTGGATATCTCATTCTTTGGATTTGGAGATATGGTCATTTGGGTAAGGTATACATGAATTGACTCATTTCACCAGTTTCTATGTAGGAAAATAGTATGGAGGAAGAACGCTGCGGAGCAGTGTTAACAAAGAGCTTGATAGAGTATAACGAATTACGTAAAACGCTTTCAGATTAAAGTTATTTCGTAGTATACGAAATACTTCAAGAACAAGCACTGAAAATCGAATACCTCAACCCATACCTACGAGACTTTTTTAATAGAGTCGGAAAACAATGATCAAACATGAAGGTTCGCGTATGAGGCAAATGTTCGCGCGAAGAGATAACATCTGGAAAACGTGAAAAATTGCTTAAGGAGACTGATGTTCGCGTGAAAAGATTCTTGCGGTTCTACGGTTAATTTGGCGTTTATCTACATGTCCAAATCTTTTAACGTTTTAGACTCCGTTCACGAAAATCTGAAAGATTTTCATTAAGAAAAAATTTAAAAAATAAAAAATTTCCCAGTTGTCAACCCCAGCGAGGGGCTCTGCCCCTTAGACCTCGCTACCCGGGGCCCGGGGCAGCCGCCCCCGGACCCTCGCTATGACTTGTAATATCGTTGCACCCCGCGCCTCTTAACTCGTTTGACAACGTTTATTCAAATTCTTGCCTGATCTAAGTAAACCCAATCACACAAAATAGCCGATGACACTAAAATAACAAACGTGCTATGACTTGTAAACTCCGTTTGGTACACGAAATTTAAATTCTAAAATTAGAATTAGAGATAAAAATTCCAATTCTACTGTTTGGCAGCACAAAAATATGTAGATTTGGAATCAATAGTGCCAAAAATAAATTTGAATCGGAGAATTCAATTCCTTCCAAATTAATTCTATAAAATTTCAACTTTCAATTGAATTCTAATTCTGTGTACCAAACATATCCTTATGTTAGCCATTGAATGCTTAGAGGTAATGCCCTATGAATTCTATCTACTTCATTTACCTCAATTTTTACCGAGTAATGCTAGAGTCACAAACAACTTGGACACAAACTACACAAACCTAACATTTGTGTATTTCAACTTTTATTTTATAAGTATTTAAAATCATTTTATTCCATTGGAAAAGTACACAAATGACAAGTTTATGTAATTTGTGTACAACTAGTTTGTGACTCTAGTAGGGGTGTTCATCGGTCTAAAACCGGACCGAACCGAACCGGACTGGACCGAAAACCGAGCTACGCTAAAACCTAGATCAAAGACCGGACCTAAATGTAGTCGGTTTTGGACCGGACCGACCCGAAATCTTATGGACCGAACCAGTCGAGACCGAAAAGACCGAATCCAGGTCAGGCATGCCGGAATTGAAACTTTCCCCACCGGCGAAACCCTAGGTGTGGAAAATTGGGGGTTTTGCAATCCCGAACCAAATGCTGCAATTGAGGAATCAGGGTGAGTCGTAAAGATGTCAGGAAGATGCCTGGATGGGTGCGCGACGTCGAAATTTCCAGAGGTGGCCGGAATCTGCAAATAACCCCACAGAAACCGCCGTGACGGGTCGCAACTGATTCCCAGCGATTCCGGCGTCCAAATTCCACGATGCTGGTGGCGATGGGGTCGTATGGACCTTAGGAGGCGTTTGGGAGTGGTGGGGAGGCTCGCCGCTGCGTGTGGTGGCCGAAGCAGATTAGGCAGCGGCATGGACGGCGGCTGTTGCGATATGACGTTTCCCGACAGCTTTTCCGGTTATGTTTGGGTGCAATAGGACCGGCGGGATAAGGAGGAGTTTAGTGGGTGACCGGCAGACACGGCGTAGAAGATGTTGTCCAAGTCTCCAAGAAGGCTTCCTTGAAGAAGATAAGATTTGACAGGAGGAGGGTGGGAGGAAATTTGGAGTTAATAATATTGTCGGTCATTTCGGTCTGGACCGAATTACAGCCGGGTATGGACCGGACCGGACCGAAACCCGAAATTCTAAAAATTCCGGATTGAAGACCGACCCGAAATCTAATCGGTCTGGGTTCGGTCTGGAGCTATCAGTCCGGTTCGGTCGATTTTTTCGGTCTGGACCTAAACATGAACAACCCTAGACTCTAGCATTACTCATTTTTATTAGTCTTTGTGTTTCCAATTTGTTTCCAAAAAATTACCATAAAGGGGTGTGTTTGGCGAGATGTGAAAATATATTTACGCCATTCAATGTCAGTAGATATTGTTTAGACATTAGAGGCCCAATCCATATAGACAAATATTGTAAATAGTGGCAGTAGAATATGGGACACTATGGGGAATGGAAAGCTAACTTTATGTCTTGGTCATGATACATAATGTCGAGATTTGTAATTATCGGTCATGAAGTAATGTATACGTACATAATGTCCAGATTTATAATTGTTGGTCATGAAAAGTAATGTAGTCCGTATATTTGTGAAAAACTAATGTTATGGTTCGTGTGCGTGACAGGTTTATAGAAGAATCTTTTACAAGGAGACGGTTCTCCAATTTTGTTTTGGAACACCTAAAGATTCGTATGCCAACTTGACATCTTTGTAACTTATGTAAAAAATGCTAATCTTGGATCTTTGATATAACTCACTCTGAGCTCACAAATTTTTTTTCATTCTTTGTTGTACTTACAATGGTAATTTTAGGCCCTTTTTGTTTAATGTATTCTGAAATGATGTCCACATGTATCCTCATTGACAATGCTCTTATAAATTATAATGTCCTTCCAACGAAGTCGTTTAATGGTTTTGTCAATTCACACAGTGTCTTAATCATAGTAACAAATACATGCATCACGTCATTATAACACATGATCACCTATCAACTTGTCTATAAATTAGCATGTTCCTAAACAAATACTTAATTCTTATTATGTGTCATTTATTGTCATTGCTTCATTTTGCCATGACGTCCACTAAAATCTACATTCATCAGTTATTCATACCAAAAAATCTACATGTAATTATAATATTATTTACGAATAACGTAGTGTTCACTCTTAAACAAAGTGGTGCTAATTCTCAAATCACATAGTGCTCGTTATCAAGTAAAGAGCAGTTCATTCCTTTCACATTTAAAAGATAGTCTAATTAATCGTACTGCTACCACCACCACCATCTCTATAGCATCTCAGTGTTGCAAATCAACCAGACATATATATATATATATATATATATATATATATATATATATATATATATACACATATATATATATACATATATATATATATATACATATATATATATATACACACATATATATATATATAAATATAAATATATATATATATATATATCCTTTAATATAATAAAGGAGACTCGGATGCACCATAATTCGACATTTGGCATGTGTATGTGGCAAAATTTAAACATGTCAGCACGCCACGTAATATCTGAGTAAACCAGCGGAAATAAATTATATACGATGCACCAGCGCATCTCCTGTTGAAAACAATTGACCGCAGATTTTCTACACAATAATCACTCGCCTTCAACGAAATTCTTTCCTTCAGATTACAACAATACGGACTCCTATTATGATGATAATATAAAATAATTAAAAATAAATATGAAAAAATATAAATACTATTTAAAAAATAAATATAATATTTTTCATTTAATTTAAATACAATTTTAGGACCTTGCTACATATATTAATCCTTTATCTTACTTCCATATTTAAAAATTACATACTAAAATTGATAAGTTACAAAGGTTTATTGTGGAAATTCGTGTATAATAAGAGTTAAAATCAATAGAGTACCTCTATTAATGGAAATTTGAATATTAGTTTTTACAAAAAATATTATTAAGAAACAATCCTAAATAATACTAAATTTGAAAATGATGATCACGAGCATATTACTAATCACCTTACTTATATTATGTATGTTGGATAATACTAATATTATTTTGGATCCGTTTATTTATATATGGAAATCCTTAATTATGTGTCTTGGATAATCAATAATATTATATGTTAATATATGTTTTTAGATTACAATAATACAAACTCAAAATAGTTTATATTTTGATATATTATATAAACTATTAATTTTATATATTATATAATATATGCTTTAATATATTATATAATATATTATATAATATGTGTTCTTAATATATATTATATATTTTATAATATATGTTTTAATATATTATATAATTGTTGATTTATCTAGGTATGCATATAGCTCACCGATTATTTTTTTTATCAATGTTATATTTACATCAATAGGAATAAAATGATGTCTAACCATGACTCTTTAATTTCATTTTTCTATATTTTTTATGAAAAAAATAGTTTATACATATTGAATATTTTAAACAATTGAATGGACGAATTTTAACAAGAGTAAAAATATATTCATATTTTAAAATTTTTAAAAAAAATTCAAAACTTTGCGATAAATTTAATATGAAATGGGAGAATATAAACAAATGTGAGTACATATTTTAAAATAAAATGATATGCATGCGAGGAATAAAATTTAGGCATTGATACATAATGATCAATGTAAATAATTCAAAGTTCAAATATAATTTTTAAATTGGAAAATTTACTTATATCTAACATGTAATTCATTTATCAAAATGGAAACTAAGCTTTGTTCAACTGAAATAATTGATACTCCATATATATATTCATAGTTAGAGGAATTTACCTAAATAACACTAAAACATAATGACTTTCCCTAAATAGCAACATATGTTTTTTATTTCCAATGTAGCACTTTTAGTCATTATCCATTAGTCATTATTTAGATAAATGTTCATCGTCACAGGAGAATATTTCTCCTTTTAGACATTATTAAGTGTTATTTAAGGGAAAAAGTTTAAGTCTTATATTGAGAAATGACTTTTGTTTTAGTACTATTTAGTGCAGATATGAAAAATGAAAAATTTGAAAAATTATATTGGGAAAAAGTTTGAAAAATGAAAAATTTGAAAAATGAAAAATGAAAAATTTGAAAAAGTTTAAATCTTATATTGGAAAATGACTTATGTTTGAGAGTATGAAAAATTATTATTTTTAGGATAGAGCACTATTGGCACCAACTCTCGAAGTAATTGAAATGATAAATGAATTTGTTCTATCCCTCATTCCTGGTGATGAAAAGGAGTACTTCAGTTCTGATTCTTCGTGCCAAGCAGAAGCAGATGTAGGTGTTGATGGCGATTGGATAACAGTTGAGTTTTTGAACGAATTCAAATGTTCGGAAATCCCAAACCACAAAATGCTCTTGAAAAAAGGAGTACCGATTATGCTATTGAGGAACATTGACTGTTGGGAAAAGTATCATAGATTTTGATGATGATGTATTTAGAATGTAATAGGGACTTTAGGTCTCCCCCAATATTCAATGTAATTTTTCTTTTTAGAAATATTGTTAAAACCAAGTTCTTGAGATTTCCAATAAGGTTATGATATTTCTTTAAGCGTTTTGATGCCTGAAGACTTAATCAAATTCAGTGATATGGAAATTGGATATCTTAATCGAAAATGCTAGAGACAAGTAAGGATTTCTCAAGCAGATGAAAATCCTCTGATCCGGAAGACTACATAAGAACCGGATGTCTCGCTACAACCCGCTGAAGGCTAAGTCACCCAAATCGGAAGACTAGCGCGGATCTCTTTCTCACCCGGAAGTCTGAGAATGACTCCTCCGGATTTGTCAGCTAAGAACCGGATGCCTCAAGGAAGACCGGAATTCTCAAAAAGTGGACAAGTGAGAAAAGACTTAGAAGATTATCTAAGTCTTGAATGAAGAAATTCTACCCGTTGGTAAGGAAAAATCAATCTCTTGATTTTCAACGGCTAGATTGAAGATAATTATGCTGAGTCAAGAACAAATGACTCGAAAACAAAGTCTGAACCTCTAAGAATTGAAGAACCTGTCCAGAATTCCTAAACAAGCACTAGAAGACAAACAGAGTAAAGT